GTTTTATTCATGTTCATAATTAATGAAATATCTTTTGTGCAAATCATCGGGAAACTACTCAACTTCATTAGCAGGTCGTAAATAATGTCAGAAAAGGCAATGCCAGAAATTTATGTGCCCGGGCACATGGTGAATAATTTAAAATTTAGAAAAAATAAATAAATGAAAAGAAAGTCGAGCACAAAAGATACAAAACAAAATTAACAAATCCAACACAGAAACAATAGAATTTTAACAAGAAATATAATTTATAGCCACTTAAGTCATAAATTTATTTTTAATTTCGCCCAATTCACATTTACAACGAGCCGCGCAAACATCATTGCTCAAGCGCGCTTAGCCCACATTTGAATACCCTACCTCGCAGGCACTCCAGTCAACCCATGATGTTTGCTACAGATTACGAAAGCAGCAGAAAACTGAAGTATATCTCAATTTGCTGTGATTTTGACAGACAAATTATTTTAAATTAATCAATGCAACCCAACTTCTGATAACCTAATCACAATAATTAACTCCTTTCATTAACCAAGCTCATTAGCATTTTATTAATACAATTTCATTTTATCAATACATAAATATACTTATATTTTAATTAACTACATTTAAACTGTGTTTAACAACAACAATAATAAAAGTAATGTTAATCCTAATAATATTAATATTAAATATAATAATTATATCAATATAGTAATAATAATAATAATGAATAGCCAGAGATACACTTAGCTTGGCAAGAGCATTCAGGCTTCGTGGCTATTCGATGAAATCTTTATTTCGTGGCTTGAGATAGTTCAGTTCAGGTTGTTTGGTGCTGGGGCCACAAAAGAAATGAAATACTGAAAGACCAAGATTTACGTCTCTTTGGCTGTTTATTTTTCTTTGCCGCTTTCATGAATCTTCAAGTTTATTATTGTTGCCTGTTTTGTGCTGTTGCTGCTGTTGCCGCTTCTGGTAGCAGCAAATTTAACACCCAGACAGTAGTAAATAAGCGGGTTATAAAAGGCCAACTAATTACAAGTTGCAGCCATCATCATACATATGCTAAAAGCAAGAATATATTTGAATATGTATGTTGCATATTTATATTTACATTAGGTATGTTGTATTTGCATTTATACGTAAATATTTCGGAGACCCTTTTTTTTTCTTTATTGTCTTAATGAATAAAGGCGACGGTCTCTAGATGAGACAAATGTATCTCGTTTGAGCGCAAAACACAAATGTTTAAAACAATAATAAATTATCGTCTTTGCTGTTGCTGTTGCTACTGCTGCTGCTGTTGTTGTTGTTGTTGTTGTTGTAGTTGTTGTTGTGGTCTCTTGCCTTTTATCGCTTGATAATCGCTGGTCATTAGTCATTTTGGCCTCAACCTAAAGTATTGTATGTTTTCTATATAGCAATATATCTGAGTCTGTTGTTTGCTTGTTGTTGCTGCTGTTGTTGTTGTTGTCTTTGCCACGCCAAAAAGAGTAATGTGAGCAACAACGGTGGCAGCAGCAGCTGCTTGTTATGTCTGCCTCTTCATTTGGTCCGCAACAGCAACAGCAACAGCAACAACAACGAAATCAGCCGCCGTTTAATAAATCGTGTACTGTCGCCTTTTATTGTTGCGGCGATGTTTCAAATTTTATTTATTTATCTGCTGCTGCTGAATTGGCTTAATAATGTGGCCAACAACAGGCAGCGGACATCGGCAGCAGCAGCGGCAGCAGCAGCAGGTCAAGCACATATTTAGCAACTTCTGGCGATATAACACTTAACAGGCGTCCTCAGCTATCGGCTATCTTGACAGTGCATGAAATATTTATGCTCTTTAGATTATTTGGGCCATATTACGAGGCAGCAGCAAGAAGGTATTCAACAGCGCTCATTACACATCAGCTGCGCATTTGTTTTCAACCTTCAACTCTGTTCACAACATTAAAAAACGTAATTGCGGCTCAAGCTATGTTTCTCAGCAGAGTATCGCGCAGTCGGATACATCCGACTGCGTCGCTTTTCCTTGCGTTTTAGTTGTGTGTCCTTATTTTTTGTATTTTTCTCAAACTTGATACTCAAATTACCTTGTCAAGATTAATCTCTTACTCTTATTGCATTTATTTTTTTCATTAGAATTTTCATTATTTCATTGATAAATGCTATCATGGGTAGATTTATAACATGTCTTTCAAAAACATAGAGCATTAACCCGACGTTGTTATAATTTATTTCTCAGTTTTGACAATTAATATTAATTAAAAACAAGTAATACCTCTCATGTCCAACAGAAGATTCTCTGAATCCCTCGCCGAGCTGCCAGCGCAAAAATTCTACCCACATATTTGGCCTGATTTTCTTCGTTGTTTATTGTCCGATCCTCATAAGTCATAAATATGGCACCCAAATACTACTCTGGATCTGTGTAAACTATAAGAGAGTCTACTTTCGGGACCTGGTCTCAAGCTCCTATGGCTTCCGAGATCCCGCTAGATTGACATAACCTAAATGCGACATAGGAATATATACACTAAACGGGCTCGGAGATACTTTCTTGTGCTAACACAAAATACCCAAGAATAGGTATAAACGGAAAAGTAATTGTAAAGTTAAATATATGACAGCTTAAAAACAATTTCATAGGCTGTTGAGCCTGATGACAGTTTGCGCTGACCTGATTTACAAAAGCTTCATGAACGGGGCAAAGTCATTTAATGCAAAGTGCGCTTATGGAATCTAAGGCCCTAAAGGAACCGTATTGGCCCGGTTACCATATAATTTATGATGGCCAAATGTGTGGACAGGCAGACAAAGCAAAACAATTTAGCCACTGACCAGCGATACGTCCGCCCGTCCAGATACTTTTATAAGTATGTAGCTATCAATAATATATTAGAGCCAACGAAACGCGCTCCCAAAAAGTCAGCGGTCGCTTTGAAGTGTCAACATGAGCCGTCAACTGAGCCGACAACTTGGCCAACGTATTTTTCGCTCCATTGTGCACACAGTCGGGCCATTTGGGGCAGGTGGAAAGGTGGAAAGGTGGGAAGGTGGGTGCCATAATAATAATCACAGCAGCTGAAGTATTTATGTCGCAGCTGAAGCTGAAGGCCTTGCAGGGCCTTAAATTTTCCCGCGTGTGTTTTTTGATGTATACCAAATTTATATTGCGCATTGCATATCGTATTTTATTTCTTGTTTCCTTGCCGTCAATTTGATGCGATTGGGTTACGTGACATTAGGTGCAGTCGCCTAATCGCCAGAATTATGATCGTCAGACATAGATATTGCAAAAGAAATGCGCAAGAAAAGAAGCCCATATTTTCTAGGTACCAGCCATTAAATTAAATTTTGGTCTCCTCTGGCAGCGTTCGACTGTATATATAGAAAAAATGTAAATAAATGCCTACCAAGTGACTGTTGACAGTCGCCGCTGTTGTCGTGTCAGCTACAAATGTCATTTTAAGAACTAAAGGAAAAAGTCAGAAATTAATATTAACAACAGCATAAAACATCGAACGAGAATGCGAACGAGAACGAGAACGAAAGACACCGCGACCGCCCATATAATGTCAGATACTGGGCTGCGAGTGAAGTGGAGCCAAAGGGAAAGTGTCAAACGCAACATTATAAAAATGACACGAGGAAGCCATAAATATTAAAACAAAACAGCCAGCAGCAGCAACAATGTCACAACATCAGCTTCGGTGGCAAGAAGCACCGCGGGGGTGTCTGGCGACCAGAGAAAAATTACGCTGAAAAATTATCGAGGAGCTGACAGCGGGCAACAAGCACTTGAGCAACTAAAAGATACAAATGTATCCGCTACTCGATTAGCTGGCTCGCTCACATAACGCCCCTGGATGTCACATCTACTGTGTGTGTGTGTGTCAGCCCACGCATGATTGACGCTCCTCCAGGAGGCCAGACACGACAATTTTAATGACTTTGCTGTAATTTATAACATAGCTGTTAATTAGCTGCAACGACTACGCTGACATCACTCATCATCTGGCTCCATAATTAATGCTAACACGGGCATAGATCGTAAAGGGGCAGCTGCTGCTGCAAGCACACAAAAATTATCCTTGGCTACAGTTTTTGGATGTTCAGTCAGCAGAAAAGGTTTTTAATAGATATTGATTCTATGGCTCAACAAATCCAATCACCCTCAGAATACAATACTCAACATTTAAAGATCCTCGTTTAATAAGAGTAGCTCGTTTAGAATATCTCGAAAACAAGAAAGTTGCTCGTTTATTTTTATTTAGTTGAAAGATTTGCACGCTCTTACAATAATTTATTACCAACTATGGCCTTAAGCTTGTCGAAAGCAAACCATTTTTCTTGATATGTACAAATATTTGTGGTCATATTTATTGAGGTTTGTGTTAAATGATTCGTAAAAGAAGAAAATAATATTTTGTTAACTTTTAAATAAAGAAATGTGGTTTGTGTGAATGTTGAATATTACACACATATATATATATATATAAGCTAGATAATGTCAACTCCATGCTAGAGTTTGGAGTGTGAAGCTTTCCTTTTAAAAACATGCATTATGTACATATCATATTTCCATGTTCATGCAATTGTATGCATGCGTATAAATTCGAAATGTTATTCGGCTTTGTGAAAAAAAAAACAAAAGTTGTTTACACAAACACGTACGTTATTTTGAACCTTTAGGTGCTACATTTTCTGTTAAGCCAATGTTAATCAGACGACTTAGATCACATACTGACGTTCGTGATTGCCATATAATATTGTCGTCCGGTCCGGCCGACTCCGTCAGACATATGTATATATATTTCGTGACAAAAATTATGGCACCCTCTGCAGGGAATAAACACAGCACGCTTTTAATTATATTTTAAATTGCCAAAGAGGGCTTATCACTTACATAAGCAAGAATGTTAACCCGAGGAGTCACCCGCTAATCTAAAACGACACCTCATAAATCAGCGGGCAGTCCGCGAGTAAATCATCAGATCTCAAATGTCAACTTGTCGCCGTGGCTCTATATCAATTTGGCTGAAGCGAAATCACAGCAGCGCGTTGTCAACAATCGAGTTTTATACAATCGTCGCTGCGATTTATTTGATCGCAATAGCGCGAATCAAATGCTCGATTAAACACATTGGGTACTCTTCCCATTAAAATTAGCACCTGTTAAAAGTTAACAGGTGTACAAAGAGTAGAATTTCGAAGTGTGTATCAGAATTCCCTGGCATAAATATCCCTTTGGGAACCGATTACATAAGCAATATCTTCTATAGGGCATCCGAAATTCGGTCAGTTTGTAAGATAACAATTGGAAATATTAGTAAATTATGGTCAGCTCTTGGCGTGGTTTAATCATAACATCTATATGCTAGCGAGCTAATAAAATGCTTTTTATAGCCATATAGCCATAACTTAAACGCATATATGACTTGTTAGTATGGAGCTGCCATAAATAATGTCCCGCACGCCCAGACATACAGTTAAGAAAATCTTTTCAAATCACAGCCATCGATTATGGTTAATTTCACGGGGCCCATAAAGCACTTCGGGAATTTCGATTTCTATAAGATATAGTTGAGTCACAAGACTATTTTAAATCGCCCATAAATTGAGTCACATTTTCAGCGATTTTGTTCCAGCAATAGATTACTGCGTACTCTAATAAATCGAAGAAATGCTTACTCTAGACATAAAAAGTGTCTTTTAGATCATAAGCATTTATTTTCCTGATTAGCAGAGTTATTATATATGCGTTAAATAAAATGTAAAATAATTTTTATAATGTAAAAATATCGAAATCAACTTGGGCTCGTCCGGGATTTGAACCCGGGACCTCCCGCACCCTAAGCGGAAATCATACCCCTAGACCAACGAGCCAGTTGAACAACGTCGACAAAGCAAAGCACAAAAGACAGAAAAAGCGCGTCGAAAGATCGCAGACAAGAAAGCCAAATGAAAACGAATCCAAAAGAAGTGCAAGAGAGGCCCAAGTTGGAGCGTCAGCGTCTGAGCGAGCGCGGCGAGGCGCGGCGAGACGAGACCCGCTCTCCTCTCCCGCTGGATAGACAATAACAGAGCAGAGCGAGTCTATTTATAACAAAAAGTTGCCATGTAGTTTGTCTAGTGGTTGCTGCTGTTGTTGCTGCTGTTGTTGCTGCTCGCGAGTGTTGACATCAAAACAAATTGTTTAACATGGACAACACAGCAATACAAAAGAAATATGATGCATGTAAATAAATTCAATTTGGAACACAAAATAAAAATGGAAGACATGGCAATCAAGCGCCAACAAAAAAAAACAACATGTGACAGCAATAAAAACACGATCTCAGATCTTTCAACAGAAATTGGACAATCAAAAAAATTGTTATTGTTAATCAGAACAAGAAAAAACGAATCAAGCAAACGGATTTTTGTGTAGTCGAATATGACATGCTCTTTCCTAAGCGACAAATATAAACTTGGGTTACTTTTGTAAATCTGATCGCGAGGTTATTCATAAAATTCCAAAAATAAAAGGGTAACTTCTATAGAAAGAGAGGTAAGCCTGCATTTAAAGAAATTATTCCTAACATTAATACATATTTTATAAGCAACCATATTTACATTTTACAAAGGTATGCATATATGGGAAATATGGGAAATGTACCAGAAAATTAATTACGACAGCCTCTTTTAATTAGAAACTGAATGAGGAAATCAATCAGGAGAGTGTTTAGAACTCTGGGCGAGCAGTTCTCTAATTATTATATAGGGGTTGGGCCTGGGTTCGCGACTAATCGAGGGAAAAAAAACTGTAGAAACAATTGAACAAATCACAGTCGCTGGACGTTTGACAGCTGATGGCGATAATTTTAAATCAAATCAATTGAATATTGTCACAATTAATTTGCTTAAAAGATATGTATGTGCGCGCTCGTGTCATATTGTATGGGAATAATAATTGTCAGCGCCCTGTAACAAAGTGGGATTTTCTGAGCGCTGCTCGTTGAATGTCAATTGATTTAATGTATTCTTTTATTGATTTTTAATTTCAGCGCTGCCTGTTTTATAGCTGTCGCCGAGAGTTTGTTAACGCTTGCGCAAATGCCGCGCCCACCTCTGTCCACCGCCCCACGTGTCGCTCATGAAATTCAAATTCAAATTCATTTTGGGCTCAAATCGAAACGCCGCACACAATTTATGCATCTGGCATACGAAATCCGGAATGCAGCATCGACTTCTGATTGCGATTTGACTTTTAAATGAAAGCCGATCGTTTTTTTTTTTTTGAAGTGGAGAGCCAGGTAAGCCTTATTTTAGAATAGTAACTAAAAAGGTAACAATAATTACAGATCAGTTCGTCGGAATGGAAACGCGTTAATTTGGAATCATTTTGCAGAAGGTTGCTTTATTAGAAATAATAGCTATCTATGCGATGCCTGCGACTAAATACCCTTGAAAACATTATGCAGCTATTCAAAATTATTCAAAAATATTATTATGTTAAACACTTTTGTTTAAAATAATAAATAATTTTTTACCCTGATCCCATTTAAAATTGGTATGTGCAAATGTATGTATGTAAGGGACAAAAGGAAGCATCTCCCATTCCCTTAAAGTATATAAATTCTTGGACAACATCAATAGTCGAGTCGATCTAGTCATGTCCATCAGTCTGTCCGTCTGTCTGTAAGTATGAATGCGCGGATCTCAGAAGCAACAAAAGCTAGGCACTTGAGCTATTAAACTTAGGCTCTTCTATATCCGATTACCGATAATATCCTCCAAATCGATATAAAAATTCTATTAAGTTTTAAGAGTTCGATTCATCAAATTTGACATGCAGCTTCTAGAATTATATTCATGGATCAAGTTACTTAAGTTTAAGATAACTATCGCCAGCCCCCTCGCCCGACCAACATCCCATTGCTATAAATTAAATTTAAGTCACAACTTAAACGAATATTCTAAAATTTATTGTAGAAACAAACCCGATAAAGTTTGAATTGAAAGTGATAAGGCAGCTACAGGTAGTCCATTAAGTATGCCTAAAGATGTGCTATCTATACATGCTTGTGCCTACCTCTGGTAGGTTCTATGAATCATATTCCGATAAAGTTGTCTGAGACGATGAAATGATACACTATGCCTGGTATGGGTATTATAGTTGATGTAAATCGGGTAATATATTGGAGTCCTACTTCCAATCCAACTGGCTTAACCACTTTTATTTGGCACGCTACAGAAGAGACATTTATATAGGTTTTTTGCTCTGGTTTGAACGCAATATTACTATATCTACTCGATATCTGATATAAATTGCAGATCTTAATCCACAGTGTAGTTCTTCTAAATTAACAATACTCGAATAATCGTTTCAATAGCAGCAAATTGTGAAACAATTTAAAAACTGATCGAATCGTTCCTTTATATACACATAGTATATAATAGTTAAAAGTATCCAAGTAAATATGACTTGTCGCTTGTGTTCTTTGTATATATTGCCCAAATAGGTTTCCGAAAAAAGAGAAAAAGCTGCCCGAACTTTGATGAGAATAAATGAACACAATATAAGACACCGACTTGATGGATTGTCCGTGTTGATGTCCAGGTCAACATCGTTTATGGCAAATCATCAAACTTTGCGCCTGCAGAGTGGGGAACAAATTAAATAATGAAGACAAATGGATTTTGTATTTTTAAAAAATGTTTCTTTTTTTTTCTGTTGTATATTTGTTGTCCATATGAATTGTTTGCGTGTACTTATTTATTTACTGCGCACTTTTGAATATATTGTTGATGCCTTTGTAGCTTGTCGTATTTGATGTGGCATACATTGAGAAGTATCGCGAGTTTTTAATTTATATGCATTGAGTTAATACACAGTAAATAATTATACATGAATTCTTTTTGTATATTTTTTTTACATTTTTTTCTCTGTTTTGTTTTTTTCTTTGTTTTTTGTTATTACAGTTTTATTATACGCAGTACTTGACATATATGTAGGTGACTTAAAACATTAATGAATTTGTAATCATATTATTATCCGTACGTGTATATAATATAATAGTTAAGAACTAAGCTTAGCCTAGACAAATTAAAATTAAACAAAGCTTAAACATCGGTTAAATGTGTAAACAAAACCTGATAATTATACGATTTGCATATGCGTATGTATATATGTAGGTTGCGGGAGAAATTGGAAGTCATAGAAAACTTTGGTTGAACTTTGAGAACAAACGCGTCTTACAAAATAATGCTCAAAAACAATGTCGCTAAGTTTGATTGAAATTGAAGTGCAAACAAAAACTGAGAAAATTCTTTTCTACAACTGCAACTACGACTTGAAGTATTTGAATGGATAATATTTTGCTTTTTGCTTTTGGATTCTTTGTTGTAGTATTTGTGGTATCTGAAACTTAAACGTAACTAGCGCTCGACAAATCTACAGTTTAGTATCACAGAACGGCGAACGCCGAACGACAGTTCGCTAATAATCTTTTGCTTCTTATTTTCGAAATCATCTCAATGGTTATATAATAAAACAGAGCTGTTGTAACTTGTTGTTGTGTTTGCTGTACAACACTATATCTATATGTTGCTTAGACCGTTGCACAACACTACCTGCCTGCTCGCTTCGTTATTTGGTATCCAAGTCGCGCCTCTTACTGGTGCGCCGCGCCCATGCGCTGTCCGTACATGGCGTACGGCGAGTAGTAGGGACCCAGGGCAGCAGCCGCAGCCGCCGCCGCCGGATTGAAGGCGCCTCCGGCGCCAAAAGGCGAAGGAGCGCCCGCCATGGCGCCCGGCGGCTTGCCATATGGGTGGTAGCGCGCCGCGGCGGCAGCCGCGGACATGGGACTCAGGGGCGGCGTCGGGTAGCCGGCGCGCAGGGCCGATGGCGGAAAGAGCGTGCCGAGCAGCGACTGAGCCTGCGACTGGGCCAGGGCCGCCGCGGCGGCAGCCGGATCCGACAGGTTGCCGGTGTGCGTGCGCAGATGGGTGAAGAGTTCGTCGGAGGTCTGGAAGCGCTTGCCGCAATAGGCGTCGCCCACCACCCAGCTGCAGACGTAGGGCGCAGACCGAGCGGCGGCTGCATTGGCGGCCGCAGCTGCCGCCGCCTGCGAGTAGGGATGGCCTGGAGGCAGGCCGGCGCTGGCCATGGCCATGCCGTACTTCTGGTGCTCGCACTGCGTGCAGCCGGCGGGGCAGGGTGCGCCCATCAGCATCTGTTGCGTGTGTGCGGAGTAGGGGCAGCCGGGGCAGTACGGATCCTTGCAGACGGGCACAATCGCCTCGCCGCCGGCTGGTGTCTTGATGCGCTGGTAGGTTATATACGGATTCGGCTGTCCGGCGGGGCCAGCTCCGGCGCCAGGATAGCCGCTGCTGGCCGCCGCGGCCAGCATGGCCGCATGATGATGTGTAAAGCCGCCGCCGAACGGCGGACGAAACGCGGGATTCGCGTGCTGCTCCATGCCGGGCGGACAGCACAGCGCCGACAGCGGATTCATTCCATACGGGCCGGCTGCCTTGTAGGCCGCCGCCGCGGCGGCCGCTGCCGCTGCCATGCTGCTCATCTCCTTGGGATGCTGTGCGGTGCCGTTGGCATTGTTCAGCACCTCCATGCCGGAGCGCACAATGGGACTGGCGCCGCGCTGCGAGGAGCCGGCGGGCGAGACTGTCTTCCGGTTGCCGTCATGTGGCGTTGTGGCCATGCCCTCCGGCTTTGACTGTGCCGCATCGGTGGGCGTGGCGTTTGACTTGTTGCGCGAGGGCACGCGCTCCTGCGTGGAGCTCTTGGAGCTGGGCCGGGCTGGCTCATCGCTGGCCAGGCTGGCGCTGCTCTTGAAGCTGTTCTGATTCTGCTGGCTGAGCACATTCGTCTCGTACGGCTTGAAGGCCAGCTTCATCTCGCTGCCAATGGTCGTGGTAATGGGCGTGCTGGACTTGGGCGACTTGGCCTGGCTGGGCGACTTGGCCGCCGAGATTTCCGCGCTGCTCGAGGAGCTCGACGAGTTCGACGACGAGGAGCATGTGCCGGACTTTTTGTTCTTATCCACGGCCAGCAGCGGCTTCACGGCCGACGAATCAGCGCCAATCTGTGAGCATGTCTGGGCCAACAAGGCGAGTGGACTCTTTTTGGCATCCATCTGTTAATTGACGAGTGGAAGCAAGGTAAAGTTGCGATTAGTTTTCAATTTATTTAATAATTTGTAAGACCATTTCAAAAAAACTATCCCTTTCTATGATTCGTCAAAAAAGCAACATACAATTTTTTCTATGCTGCCTACCAATAACAATTTTTAAGTATTATGTAGATTTGTATTCAAACGTAGCTTAGTTTCAGTTCATTATTTAAATGAAATGTTTATGGTTCGGCCGCCGTAAATTGCAATTCCCCAAATTATCTCAAAGTCATTTTAACTTAAGCACTTTTTGCATATAACAAGAAAAAAAATTAAAATATTTTAGGCAGCAAAAATAAACTTTTGCTGTCTGAATTTTTACCTATTCCGTATTTTTATGTTTTTTTGTAGTTGGTAGATTTTCAATTTTTTTTTTAACTCTGTTGTGCCATTTTTATGTTTTTTTTTTCAATTTTTTTTTTTTTGGATACTAACCGTTGTGGGCAATGGTGCCAAGTAATCCGGCTGCAAGTACTGGTTGTTGCCGATGGTAACAACACCACCGCCACCTTCCAGGACAACCATTTTGGAGCTGCTTTGGCGTTTGTTTGTCGGGTAATCCACAGAGAATGCGACGGGTTATTCCCGAGCAGCTATACAAGAAATTGCAGCTGCTGGTTGTTGTGGTAGAGTAATCCAAAGGGAATGCGACGGCAAAATTTGATTTGAAAATTATTTGCGGGGTTTTTGTAAATATTTCTTAAAATGCACACTTTGAATTTCTTATTTATTTAAGAAATTGCTTGCGTTCACTGATTTGACAAGTGGCCAACTGAGCTGGCGTATCTTTCACTTTTGTTTTGGCTGTTCAAGCACTTTACACTCGGCGTTGTTGCTGGCGAACGTTCTGACAGATACACAAATGCTGTTGTATGTGGTTGGTTTTTTATGTAGAGTTTACTTTTTCTATTTCAGTTTTTCCGAACACGTCTGAACGCATCGAAGGCTAAACTCGAACTGAATTCAACAAAACTGGCATTCAGAGACTTGCGATAGAGTGAAGCGAAATCACGCTCAGCTGTGTGCGCTCGCGGCACGACTCTCTGGCTCTCTTGCGCTCAAAACCGGTAGCAGCGCTGCACACCGTTTCAGAGTGTTGGAAAAAAGAGAGAGGCATGTGTTGTGCGAGTGAGCTGCACTGTGTGTAATTTTCAAATATGGCGTACTTTTTGTCCAATCAAATCGCATGCGCCATGCAATGGAAGCCGTTAAGTGACCAAGCAGGTTTTTTTCAGTCAGCTGCATGGACATTTCTGGCTCAGCGCCTCTTTGTAACACGGCAACACTCAATGCGAGAGCAACAGTTGAGCGTGAGAGCAGTGCTCTTTTTTCTTTGCCTGATTGGCGCTGTTCGCGGAAGTTTGCCTTTGACGCGCACATTAATTTTATCTTCACACATATGTCACGCGCATCTGGAGCTCACACTCAATCATGCTCTCCCACTCCAACCACGCTCTCGCTCTCCCGCTCCCTCTCAGTCGGCTGTCAACACCAGGCCATTCTACTACGCTCAGTCGCATTTCCTTCGCTGAGATTTGTTTCTCAGTCACTCAACACTTAACCACTCTTCTTTTTATGCCATCGACTCGGCTCGCTCGTTTTAATGTCATATAAAAATTAATTTGTTTGCCGCTCTCCATCGCTCTTCCTCCACATCCACTGCGACTGGCTCTCTACCTCTCTGCCTCTTCGCCCAACGAACCGACAATAACTCTGACTCGGGCATTGTTTAGCGTTTTTCGATTAACTTCTGGGCTCTGTTCTGCGGTTTGTTTTCCACAAGAGCTTCTGTTTGTTGTTTAAGTGGAAATCGTTGTTTTGTCGTTGTGTCAAAGTTGTTCCAAACAATTTTTCACATGTTTTGTCCTCTAGTAATCGTATCATATATGTACATATATGTGTATGTGTGCGTGGCTAGAAATGTGTGCATGTGTGCGGCTTAATTAAGCTTCGGCCAATTGCAATGCGAGAGAGATCTCAGTTCCACATGTGTTGGCGGCGCCACATGATGCACTTTAGACTTTTTTAATTTTTTTTAATAGTTTAATGGTTGCTTGAGTTCATTCATTTTTAATAATTCATTTTTAATTATTCATGCTGATCAAGCCCTAAATTCAATTTTTATTCATTGACTGCAAAACATTTGCATAAAAATAGCTGCGTCTCATTCTGAACCAAGCCACAAAATAATACAAAATAACTATTTCTTTGCACAACAAGTATTCGTGGGATCATCCAACCTTATACTAAGTATCTTCTATTTGAACTATCAGTTGGAAATTGAGTTCTTTTAAAATGCATTGACCAAAATAAAAATTAGTCTACGTATTCATTCAATATCTGATAAGATCAAGTATACCTCGTATATTACGAACATTACTTCTTTCTCATTAATAACATCGGAATACCAAATTATATAAATTTCATTCATATTTTTTTTTACATTTTGTTTGCGTTATTTAAACTTTACTGTTATCATGGAAACACCTTTAATTAAACGTATATGAATACTTACAAAACTATTTATTCTACTGTTAAGTCTTACAACTAAGTAAATTATTAGAGATACATTTTCAAAAATGGAATTGCTTTCAAATTCTGTACTATGTTCCAAAGTAAAATCGTATTGAAATTTATATGATCAATTGAGCTTTTCAGAAAAACATCATTTGCATATAATTATATACAACAGCTGCAAGGATATTTAATCTGCAGTATTCTGAAAATTGATGCTCATTGCATTTGAAGCAAACGAAGATATGTGTTAATATTTGAGATAAGCATTTAAGTGGATTTTACCTTTAGCTTAGAGCTGATTATTGGTATTTACGTAATGCAGATTCTTGGCTACAGGGACTCGGACTGGGATAAGCCGAAGCGAGGGGCGGCTTGCAGGTAGAACTATGTCACAGGCTCTAGGCTCTAGGCTCTAGGCGCTAGGCACTTGGCCAAGGCCAGGCCAGGCCAGGCCAGGGTAGGGTTGGGTAGGCCGAACAACCTTCGCAGCAAATGATGGATTTATTAGGTAAAAGCGTGTTACCTCACGATACGGCTTAAACGTAATTTGCGGCTTTTGCGCTGGCCATCAAGGCGGACAAGGTGCTGGCAATTGCCGGTTTTCAGTTTGGCTCATTTGCGTTAAATGCCAAAATAAATATGCATTGTGCTCAGCACATAAGTAAGTAAGTAAGTGCGGGGGGGGGGGGAGCTACATACTGTAGGTATGTCGGAGCGAGTACGTACGAGCGTAAGTAATTCATATTTTTACGGCTACTTTGTCAGCGTCATAAATTTTCCGGGGCATGTGAATTATTTACTAGCAATGCGAACGGGCAAACGGCAAACGAGATGCTTCTGCCCGCAAATGGTTTGTGCGGGCGGACGGGGGGGAGGCAGAGCGGGCGGACGGACGGGCGGACGGGCGGGTGGGGCTGGCATATAAATAACACAAAATATTATAAATTACACGCAGGGATGTAAAAACGCTGAGCAGAAGCGAAAAATTTGTAGCCGCGAAAACATTTATGTATATATATGAAGAGAATATAAAAAGGAGGCAGCCGCAGCAGCAGCGGCAGCAGCGGCAGCAGAGCACATAAAATTAACCACATATTTCTTCATTTTTATGGCATTTATTATCACAGAAATGTTTGTGTGATAAAAGCGAAGCAGCGCAAAAGGCGAACGATGAACGATGGACGACGACGACGACGACGACGACGACGATGGCGACGGAGATGGCAATGGCGCAAAAGGCAGTCATAAAAATGCAGCCATTTACCTTTTGATTTATGCACAGCAACAACAACAGCAAGGGGGGGAAATGTTGGCGAGGGGGGTGGGTGAGCGGACTCGCATGTTGCCAACACCACCAAGAATAACAACTGCAAAACACGCTGCGCAAAAGAATGCAATAAATTTGACATTATCTCCGGCAATATGAAGGTATATACCTATCAAAAGCTACGACCCAATACTTGTCAAGTGCGAGTAGTTCGGGGCTAGCGGCTCCTCTCCCTCTCTCTCTCTCTCCCTCTCTCTCTCTCTCCAAAGAGGATGCTACAACATTACAAAAATGAATTGGTAAAATACTCTTTTCTTTTTTAATTTAACTTATGCTTTATTTCAACTTTAGTTAATCTTATATGAGTATTTACAAAACTACTCAATCTACAGTTAAGTCTAGCATGAAAATTTACAAGGATAGGTTGATTATATGAATCGAACTGGGAGATCGTTTGGATGAGACCTCCTCATTCGGACTCCTCCAATTCTACGCCGCTTTAGAAGGCGCCTAGCCAGAGTAAACTTTTAGGGGTAGTCAGATTCGCAGTTATCTGCAAAAGATTCAAATATCGATATCAGTTTTATCCGCTGATTCGGATTAGATCATTCATAGTACGATTATTGCTTTCGTTTGATGTTGCCAGCAATACAATAACTCACTTGTGGAGAGCCCAAAATCCCAGCCATTTAAAAAATTGAAAAACAAACTGCAATAAATTCAGCATAGCGCATATTCGGCTCGACAACGCACACACATTCATACACTCACACACACGCACACAATCAATAACTCACATAAAAAATGTTCTTAAAAAGGGATACACATCCGGCATGCCCCCTGGTCGGCTGAGGGAGGGCAGCAGAGCTACCGAAAGACCGACTCTCGATAATTTATCGACAACAATTTATCTCGTAATAGTAACGAGCAGAAGAAAAAAAAAACACAGAACGTTACCGAAGAGAAATTGCCCCTGGCATTGGTGACATTGAAATTGTACGGTAATGCGCGGCAAGGTTCTTTGGAATATTATTCGAAAATAACAAAAAGCGGCCACACTTTTCTATTCGCATTCCCAACCCCTGTGCTCGATCCCCTGGAAATGCCAAATCTGGGTAGATTAATAAAGCAAATTAATGGATAAATTGTTGCTGAATGAATGAATGAACAAAAAACAATGCAATTTGTGGGCTACAAAAAATGTGACACGTGCACGAATCGCAGAGACAAATTGACAATATATACTTTTTATTGCCAATGGCATTGGGTATTAATTGATGGCAAAATAACGCAGCATGGGCAAGAAAAGGTTTCTAGTGCCAAGCCAACAAATTTTGATTATCTTTCTTTTCAACATGAATCACCTCCAGAACTTTACGCACAGCTAAATACGGATTAAATTTTTGGCTATTTGGTGTCCATTATATTGAATTGATATTATAATTGAAATTATGGCGAAAAAACTTCAATTTCAAGTTTCCAGCTCTTATAGTTGCAGAGATCAGCTCGTTATTCTGAACAAAAATTTGTTATATATATATACATTTTTTTTTTGAGGTCTACTCATTAACCACATTTATACATATTTCCGATATTCCGATATCAAATTAAACAAATTTAATGGTGTATTTCTCTGTTGTTGCATTTTGATTTATTATAATTGATTTTCCTTTGTAAATTATAACAAATTAAATAAGCAAAAAATATAACAATTTTTAAAATTGTCGGTCCGATAAGAAATCCCATGACGTCACGATTACAAAGCACACTTAAATGGAGGTTTTTTGTTGTTTGTTTTTGTGTTTTTCAAACAAACTTTTAGCAGCACATGCGGGTCGAATAATCAAGAACCCCATCGCGGTGCTCACTTCCGACTTAAAAGGTAGCTTTAGTACAAATTTCAGCTTCTTACGCCTTGAGCTGTGCGCTGTTACCCAGTTTAGGTGTTCGGGAGTTCCCGACTATGGGATATCCTGGGCCTTCTTCTACCAAAACCAGATGGAGTGAAAATGTAAGAGTCTAGCTTGCATAGGCTCTGAAAAAACGGAACTGGCTAGATCGACTCGGCTAATAATGCTGATCAATGTTATGTATATATGTATACTCTTTACGGACTTAGATATGCTTCCTTCTGCCTGTTACATACAACTCCCATACCCTATTTATTTGGAT